CTCTGCTCCGCCAGGCTTCCATGCAGCAGCCACAGAAGGGAAAAAAAAAAAAAAAAAAAAAGGCAAATTCAGTTCTCGCTTCCTATTTTTCTCCTCCTCCTCTTTTTTTTCAAACTTGGCCCGTTGTGAAAACCACCCCTTTAATGCCTGGCTGCCAAATAGAGCAATTCTCTCAAAAGAGAAATGTACATCAAAGTTGCAAGGAATATTTAATTAACCTTTAAAGGGGATCATCCATAACTGGCTTACAGAGATGTCATTTAATTGTTTAAAAAAATAAACACAAGGCACTTGCATGTCTGTCCAGACAGTTCTGGCTTTTGCTGCTGTGACCACTGTTGTCTGGCTAAAAGGCAACTAAATACCTAAACTTTCCTTCCAACTCCCATTCTGCACTAGAACCTCTGACATGCTTCTCTCTGCTCAGGCAACACGGCAAGTGGCCAAATCCACCCCTTCTGCATCGAGGAAACCTTGATAAACTTCTCTGGGAAGATGCCATTTGCTGGCAAATCACCCCGTGTCGTTGCACGAATGAAGATGGACCTTTTGGAGGCTTCTTCTCTTCCAGCAGGAGGGAGGCAGGGACCCAGCTCCAGCTCTCAGACCCAAACACCTCAGTTCTCCAAAAGTCAGAGGCCGAGGAGATAAAGCTCTTCAATAAATGATTAAACCCCCTCTTACTCTAAGGAGGAGAGCGTGGACACGCATTGCTACCCTCTGCTGGAAGGAGCTGCCTTTCACAGAGGCCTTAGAGCTGCTAAGGAGGTAAAATGAGATCTCTTTTTAGCTCAGGAGGAAAACTTCTGTGTGTGAGGAAGAGGAAGGTCCGACCCGGAGCGCTGCTGTTGAGAGGACCCGATTGCAAAGCGCTGCGGGGTCAGCGTTTGCTCCTGCAGCTCTGGAGTAATCCCAGCACCTCTTGTGCAACGGGGTGTCCTCCTTCCCCCAGATTTTGGGTGCCAAAACAGGGCAATGGCCATGTGTTTGTGCACTCGGGGCTTCCCAGAAACCATTTGTTGAGCCTTCCTGCTCAAGGGTGTGTGTGCGTGTGTGTGCCTTTGCTTAATGTGAGCACGCACAAAACCCCACTGGTAGCAAACAATCATCTGTGTAGGAAAGACTTTGTGGCCCACGTGCCAAATCTTTGTACATTCCCTGCTATTTTTAACTAATCCCTAATGGCAACCGTCCACTTCGGTCCTGCCCGCTCCCGGCCACACGCCGTGTGTGTGTGTGTGTGTGTGTGTGTGCCTTTGCTTAACGTGAGCCAAGCACAAAACCCCACTGGTAGCAAACAATCATCTGTGTAGGAAAGACTTTGTGGCCCACGTGCCAAATCTTTGTACATTCCCTGCTATTTTTAACTAATCCCTAATGGCAACCGTCCACTTCGGTCCTGCCCGCTCCCGGCCACACGCCTTCGCCGCTGCTCTCCCCCAACCCGGGGGGCTGCATGATCCGTGTCTCCCCCCTGCATCCTGCCCTGTCCCTGCCCAAGAGGGGCTTTTCTGCAGCCTTGCATCCACAGATCTCCTGGAAAAAGCCACCATGGCAAACCCAAGGGCAGCTGGCAAACCCAAGGGCAGCTGGCAACCATAAAACATCAGATAAATGAGGCAGGGGGGTGCTTTCAAGACCCCCCCAAGAGAAGGAAGTGTTTAGAAACACAGACCTGAGTTGGTTGAGGGGAGTAGGAAACAAAAAGCCTCCAAGTTTCCTGGCAGTGCTAAGCTTTTCCTGAGGGCCAGCAAACCCAAGGGCAGCTGGCAAACCCAAGGGCAGCTGGCAACCATAAAACATCAGATAAATGAGGCAGGGGGGTGCTTTCAAGACCCCCCCAAGAGAAGGAAGTGTTTAGAAACACAGACCTGAGTTGGTTGAGGGGAGTAGGAAACAAAAAGCCTCCAAGTTTCCTGGCAGTGCTAAGCTTTTCCTGAGGGCTGGAGGATTAAGGTCCCATGCCTGTGGGTGCAGGGCATGGGCAGCGCTGCCCGAGGAGAGCCCGGTGGCTCCACCACGGAGCAGGGACAGGGCCACCCTCCCGTCTCTGCCACTCTGTGCCACCCCGAGGAGTGATTCCAGCACCCGTTCCCCGCCATGGCTGTGGTGATACTATCTTTTCACACTTGTCCACGCAGCGCCTTGCACCGCGGGCTCGCGGCTCCGCCGGGATGTCTGTGGGTGAGGGTGTCCCATGGAGAGAGCCTGGAGCTCAGCTCTGGCTGCCGGAGACGGGGGTGGCTTTTTGAATGGTCTCAAGGAAGATGGGATCCAAAAATTCGGCTGGGTTTTGCTCCCTGTGGCTGCCCACCTCCCTGCATGCCGCGGATGCCTCACCTGAGCCTGTGCTGAGCATGACTCTACCTGCCCGCAGCAAAACAGAGGCTCTCAAAGAGGGGAAAACAGTGATTTCGGGCTAACGATATCATCAGAGCAAGGGCTTGGGGAGGCACAGGACGGGAGAGCAGCAGCAGCAGCCGTGTCTCTGCCCGGCCCCACTCTGCAGCGGAGCGAGGGACAGGCTTTCCCCTTTCCCCAAATCTAGGGGGGGAGGCTGGGGGTCTGCCCCACACACCCTGGGCACGGGAAGCCTGCCCTGGAAGTCCCGCTTCGGTGGCTGGCAGGGGAGCTGGCTTTTCTTGAAAAAAATCTCATTTTCCTGCCCGAGTTTTCACATTCATTTGCCTCCCACCGCTCCGCAGCGCTGCCTGCCAGGGAAGAGTGACTAAGGGGGTGGGTGGAAAAAGAACGACTCCAGACCAATTTAGCAGCCTGCGGTGC